TATATATAAATACTTTTCATTGTAGCTGGATCAGGTAACTCTTTAAACAGACTTGGCATCACTAAATTACGATAAAAAAAAACATTAAAAAATTTATTATTTTAGGCAATACCACATCTTGAGTGCATTGAGAAAGTAATGCCAAAGATTAAGCTGGATAACTACTGGATTTGTTTTAAAGGATTAATCAAGAATTACTGGCATCACATACATTATCAATTTGTAGAGAAGCAGAAATAAAGAAATATTATATACAGTTTGACATATTTATAAAACTGATGAAAAAGTCTTTTTTTTTTTCAACAGACAGTAAGTGGCTTTGTTCAGAGACGTGTTGCATGTAAATCTGTTTCATGTAAAACATGACAATAAAAGCACAAAATGAGGCCTCAACCACAACATTTTAATGCAGATTGTCTCATTTGAATTCAAACAAATTTCTACCTGATAATGCCATTCAACATGGTAAACTTGGGTAACATAAGGGTATGTACTACATGGTTTATCTGGAACTACTATAGTGTCAGATCTGTCAGTCCACAGCCATGTGCACATGTAAAAACAATGTTAACCTTGAAAGCATTTGGCCTCTGGGACTCAGCCTAAAGTTTAGGCTGAGTCCCAGAGGCCAAATGCTTTCATGGTTAACATTGTTGTTTAGGCCCTAAACCCTTATCCCAATTTCATCTCAATAACAAATGGGAACTTGTTGCTGAAATTCTAATGGAATTACATTAACATCAGTTATTCTCACTCGACTATGTTTTAGATAAACGTGACTCCCTGATTAAAGCTAAAGCATTAAAGCATCGGCTGGCCTGCAGTCAGTAGGGGATTCTTTCTTGTTCTTTACAATGACCATGTTCATATTTGATCCTTAAACACAAATGAATTCTCCCTCAATGTACATGTACAAAAATACTCAAGATATGTATACTTTTACTTTGGAAGCTTTGGGAATTTGTCCTTGCCATCAACATAAAGAAAATAAAATACTAGTAGCATAATAGTAGCACCACAAGTTTTTACCACAGGCACATTCTGGTGTTTTTCAGTGGAAATGCTAGATGCAAACTGTACATATGGTTTGGCAGGATGGGCAAATAAAAAATAAACAATCAAACAAACAAGCAAACAAGCATGCATATCTTTGCTGTTTCTAGGAGCAGATAAGACACTGTGCAGAACCCTTAAACTCCCTGGCTTTTGGTAGAGGAGCCAAGTTTGAAGTGAAGTGGAACTGCTCAAGAGGAAGAGTATGACACATTGTTTTTTATATATTAAATTACAAAAGTATTTTAATTTGTTACTGCCACATAACATAAATCATCTTCATATCAGTAGAATCAGCAGCAATAATATACTGTATCAAGTGCTTCCAAAAAGCTTTGACGATATGAATAATTATACTCTGAAAGTGTGTCAGTGAACGCAGCATCTGCATCAGGGCAGGATTTAGATCAACAGTGAAGCCTGTTAGCCTGACGGACGTGGACACCAGGGCTACTAGTGACGTATTGGGGTTGTGAGTGTGTGTCTGTGTGTGATTGACACGGGATTGAAGGTGATAGAAACTAAGGCTTTGCTTCACTGCCAGGGCTTTACCACTGACTTTCTATACAAGAGAACAGCTGTTTTACAAGGCAGGGAGGAGGCCTTTTGCACCAAGCACTACATTTGGAGTGGACAAGGAGAAGAAAAATTAAGAAAAGGCAGAGGGGTGCAACTTTTTTTTTTTTTTTTAATCTCATTCATGCAGCTTTAGAATCAAATACTTGATAAGTAATTGGTGATAAGATTAAAACAAAAGGGTTTAGAGACCATGATCAAAGGGAGTCTATGAACATAGAACATGCATATATTAGTAAACATTTGATTATGTAAGGTAACTTGGTGATTTTATATATATATATATATATATATATATATATATATATATATATATATATATATA